GAGTTATTGTTATGTTCTCTTTATGATTAGATGGAGAATTTGGAATAGAATTAAAGAATTCACGGGGAATTAGTATAGGAAAGCACTGTCATGCATGTTATGGGACTCCTCACTGTTAGGAGAGCCGCTAGCGGACAGACCGTGCCAAGTCATCTGAAACACATCACCTCCTCCAAAAGGAGGTGCAGCATTTAGGAGTAAGATCTTCCAAACACGGTTTTACCCCCACTTCTCTTTTCCTAGCCACGATCTGGAAGAGCCTGAGGAGGTGGTGTTGTTCAGCTTGATCCAGCTGAGCCATCAGTGCCACCAGCTCCCGCAGGCGCAGGTTTATCGGCTGCGGTTGCTTCTCGTACAGAGCGGGCAGGACACGCAGCAGCATCGAGTTCCCTGAGGGCAGAGCAGATGAGAGGCCAGTGACTCACTGTTGATCAATACCCTAGAGCTGGAGAGAGCCCTAGAAAATCAGCACAACTCTGGAGACAACAGTTTTTAAGAATCATCAGTATAAAACCAGGGAGGCACGAAACGCGCTATAAAAAAATACATACTGGGCCAAGAAACCCAATAAATAACCTAGCCAGAAACAGAACGAATCATTGCAGATATAACAACATAGGTGAAAAAAAATAATAATCTTATTAATTATAATTTTCATTCTCAAGTACATCATCATGAGAAGGCTGCTTAATGAGCTTTCAGATTTGGACGATACTCTGTCGAGTCCCAGACCAAACTAAGTGTGATTTAAATTAACCAAAAAAAAAGAAGGCTGGAAAGCACATAAAAGCTATATTTCTCCTTTGTTGAGATTCAGACTTTCAAATTAAATAAGCAGCATATGGAAAGAATAGTTGGTTATTAAGAGAACTGAATATGCATGACAGTAAACTGGAACATAAATAGTTAAGGATGCCATTTCCAGGAACAGAAAGGAGCCGGAGAGATTCAACTGCAGACAGACAAAGATAGGCAAAACTCTCTCTCACACATTTTCTTAAGATGTCTGTGCATAATTCAATTTGAAGCCCAGGCTCATACCAAAATATATAACTTCACGTTGCTGTACATGCCTGCCTCAATATATTTAAGTTTCACTTGAACAACATATGGAAAACATCTGCCTATTACAATGCAGTATGGCTCCTTTTTGTAAACCCTTGGAAGTCCTTGAGGTCTCTTTGGATTTGGTTTCCAATAGGAACTAGCTCTCTGGCCTGCTGCTTTTCTTTTTCCCCCCCCATTTAAATCTAAGCCTTACAATTTGGGAAGATAAGCAGGTCACTTCACGGACGGGAGAAAAAGGACGAACAGGTCAGACCAGACCACGCGGTTCTCTTGCCAGATACAGAAAACGCACCCCAAGACACTGTTAGGTCTGGCAGCATCACCTCTGAGCCAAGAAACTAACACATAATTCATTGCAGGTTCAGACAGCTTTTAGGCAAACGGCATGCAATGGTCCCTAAGGGCTCCTCACGCTCCGGAGGAGTGCCTCCGCGCCGCCGCATCCCGTCCTGAAGCGTTCCTTCTGCTTGGAGAATCCTTGCCTTCTCCCCGAGGCAGCTCAGAGCCCTGGGGACAACCACCGTGGTGCTAAAGGCAGGGTTCAGAGCCCACCCCTACTCCCACGGGCACGGCGAATTTGTCGTCTGTTCTACATACAATAAAGCCCAAAGGCCAGTTGCAAAGAAAAGGTATTTGCTGAAGAATTACCCCAAACACGTTAGCAAGCTGTTCAGTTCTGGCCATTTTCTAGCCACATGCTTTGCACAAATCTATTCCTGATGTTACAAGTGAGTCTGTAAAAAAAGTGTCACTTTTTTTTTTTTTTTTTTTACGAGTGTCACTAACGTACCATGAGCAAAGCACCAGCTCATCCAAAGTTAGAACTGAAATGGTAAGAGGATGCATTTACTTGAACTTTTCTAGACTCACATCTGAGTTTAAAATTGAACAATTCTGTAACCAAATACACTAAAAATTATTTTCTTCTCTGGATAATCTAGTGTTTACAGAAATAAGTCCTTGCTTTGCACTTGCATGCATTCAGTGGATGTTTTCTGTCCATATGGAACAGAGCCCTGAAGCTCCAGTCGAATTGCAGCAGTGGTAACAATTGCAAAAGATGAAATTCCCATGTTCCTGGCAAAATTCATCTCAGCTGTAAAAGCATAGAGGGAAGGAATTCAGCAGAGATGAACAAAACCCAGCAACTTTAAACAAGGAACGCCAGCGACTAACCTGAGTCATGCTATTGCCTAAGCTGGGATGTCACGGACGGGAAGGTATCTGGAAAGTAAGACTAATTATTCAACCTGAGAAAACAAGCATTTTAACTATGGGGTGTATGAGAGGAGTGATGCAATTTGACATGACAACACGATGGATTGCAGCCACCAAGCTTCTCTGAACAAAAATACTTCGTACAAATGCAAATTTGGGCAGTTTCCTGCAGCAAATGTTGCTGGGTTTACATTCACTAAGATAAATGGAAAGCAAAGGCAATTTAGAAGCAACCCCATCACTTTGAAGCGATATTTAAATGACCTCACTGACAAGGAATTGCTTTTAATTGAACAACCTGTGTATACAAACTTGTAAACAACCCAAGCAGACACCACAGTTTGTGTCTGTTCTTCCTATGACTTAAGAAAGGTCACGAAGCACAATCCATTCATTATTTTCTTGTATTTTCACGTTTTGAGTTAGCCCTGAGTACCTCTTGCCGTTTGCTTGCCACACCTTTTCACTCGCTGAGGGATGCACACACACGCAGCCCACCTTTTGATTTTCAGAGCCCGGGCAGTCAGAGGCCACATTGTGCCCGCTCCCAAGTAATTCACTTTTTTTCCATTTTGCTTCATCTGGCTCAGTCTAAACTAAAAGCCTGAAAAGTACGTTTGTTGTCTGAGGGTGGAAAAACATCATACTCAACTCCTTAATTATCTTCTTTCCCTCTTCCTTCCCCTACCACCCTTACCCCCGATACTTTCCAGATTCGATTTTCTCAGACTTACCAAGCAGACCACACACTGGGAATTACGCAATTCAGGCAGAAACTCACGTACCCTTGGGGACACTCCATGGCTTTGCAGCGCTGGCTGCAAGTCAGGCAGGGAGGAGGCATGTAGGGCAGGAGCAGCCCCAACTGCGTGCTGGGATGGGGCCAGTCCACCCCAGTTGCCCCAGGCTTGTGCCCTGGGCACACCTTGGCCATGCTCCCTGCACACCCGAACTGCAAAGGGTGCCTTGTGCTCAGTCTCTGCTCTGCCCAACACATTTTCCCCAGAATAACTCCAGTTAGGCACATACCTCCCCGAAAACATTCACCTCTACTTTACCAAACTTTTGAGGTTTCTCATATATTGCTTCAACATTACTATTTATTATCTGTGCTTGCAGGAGAGCAGCTGGAAGCTCCACAGCAGCAGAAACTCCATATACACATAAGGTGAAACAGCATGACAGCGTGGCACGTAGGAATGGCACGGCACCGTAGGAATGGCACGGCACCGTAGGAATGGCACGGCACCGTCGGAAAGGAACAATGGCATGGCACCGTAGGAATGGCACGGCACGGTGGCCAGCAGCCCAACGTGCAGCTAGCTCAGGTTTGCACAAGCAAGGCTGGGTGCTCGGATGCATCTGGTGCAGCAGCACCAGGCTCCCAGCACCCTTCTGCAGTGCCCGGAGCAGTGGGCTGCCCTGGGCTGTGCGGAGCGAGCCTGGCGGGGCTGGGGAGCAGGCAGCACTGGTCCTACCTGCCTCCTCAGCAAAAGGTGACACCTGCAGAGTGCCTCCTGGGCTCTGCTGCAGGAGAGGGCAATGGCTGAGGCCACGCACATCATCTCTGCTCCTCATGCTGCTGCACCTCCTGCTTATGGCCTGGGTGTCAGAGGCAGAACGAGCAAGAAGGGAAGCACAGGGCCCTCTTTTCATACTCATGTGTATGATGATAAGGGGCTAAACCAGAGACTCAAAGGGAAAGGGAACACAGACTGCAAGTTAGATACAATTTCATGGGTTTTTTTTTTTTGCTATTCTCTGAATATTTCATAGCCAATATATAATTTGTACCATAATACCCCTAATCTCGCCTAAGCAATGCATCTCTGAAATAATTAACAGTCCATTGAACTGATAAGCTTTCCAGAATTCAAAAGTTTAACACCAATAACAATAATACTTAGCACTAATGACTAATCCAAGAGTGCCTTCTTTTGGTTTTTTTGAAGTTAACAGAAACAACTCTAATCATGCAGCTGCTAATCTGCACGCTCCTGAAACAAGATACTAGCAGTAACGTGTTATCCACATAGTTATGATGTTGTTATTGGTTTTTAGGACTAGAAGGGCAAAACTCTAACAAGCTGGTTTTAGGAGTTCCCCTTTATCGCTTAAAGCAGTAAACTGCTAGTATATAACAGAAGTTTAGATGTGTAACTATCAAAAAAGCTACAATATTTAGATTAAACCATACATGCGCATCCAAACTCACTCCAGGTATGTTCATTTTTCCAACACTCCCCCCCGGAGCCCTGGCACACACCAACTACAAAGCGAGTTTGCAGAGAACGTTTTTCTTTCCACCAAGAACACCAACCAGCGTGTTGTCGGCAGCGGGCTCCGAGCGACTTCATCCCCGCGCTCACCCTCGCACGGCTGCACGTTGCAGCCATCTGCTCCGGGAGGGGAAGGGGCAGCTCGCAAGAGCAGCTTTCCCCACGGCTCCCCCGAGCAGTGCAAACCTGGAAGGCTGGGATTGAGCAAGCTGCACGCCCCCCTGCTCCTCCCAGCCAAAACCAACAGTCAGAAGTGCTCTTGTTACACCACGGCGTCGCTCATTCATTCAAGCTGAGGCGCTCGGAGTATTTATTAGGGGCTCGCTGCCTCCCGCTCGCAGTCCTGTCTCCGCTGAAGTCTGACTTGGGCTTTAGCTCCAGACAGCCCAGCTATTTTCAGGAAGCAGCTTGGAGAATGCTGCCCCAAGAAATGCTTTCTCTGCTTACGCTGTTCTGTGTTTTCAGGGCTTCTGTTTCTGTTCTGGATGAAGACGATGACTACGATCTCATGTATGTGAATCTGGATAATGAGATCGAAGGTCCAGCTCTCGGTGCTGAGGAAAGTAAGTAGATTTAAACCAAATTTGTGTTAAGTGCAGAATTGCTTTCTTTGTTGCCTCACTCTTGTAAGAGTTATTATTACAAAGGTAAATTTTTTTTTAGAGGAAGAAGCATGTGCTTGTACCAGTAGATTGTTACGGACAGCAAATGCTAAAGCACCTGGATAGTGTGCCTGGGAATTCACTTTATCCTCTCTATTTCCCAGTTTTCCTGCAAAAGACTGCTGACAACACTTAGTTTTGGAATGGCTAAAATACACACTGC